AACCAGAATTGCTATCCCTGCAGACTGGGTGGTCTTGCATATGTCCAAAGAAAAAAGAGGAGGTTGGGGGTTTTATAAAAAGGAGAGATGTTATGTACTGTTTCTCCAGAAAGTTCATTGGCAGTAGTAAAGTTATGGGGATCTGGCAGTCTCTAATTGGTGAATAATGGTAGTGGGCAAAACTAGTCTTAGAATTGCAGCATGTTTCAGAAGCCATTAGATAAAACTGGTTTTAGGTTACAGGAGGCATTTTTAGCACTCAGGCTTACCAAGAATTACATTCTTAGAACAACATTATGTGCCAAGTGCATTATCAGCCTGGCTTCTTGACACTTTTTCAGTTATGTATGATAAGAATAAGCTAAATCTTATTATCAGTTTTGACAAAGGATATTTGAATTATCTTGACTTTGAGGGTATTATGACAAATGCTACCATGGACTTTTTTTATACAAGTCTTTGAGGGAAGATATGTTTCATATTTTTTGTATGAACACCTAACAGTGAGTTTTTGGTTACTGAGAATAAAGCAGATTTGAACCCTTATGTACATGTCTCTGGGAGGACGTATGTTTTCATTATTTTTGAGTAAATATCTAGCAGTGGAATGGTGGGTTTTATAGTAAATGTATGTTTAATTGCCAAATGGTTTTCTACCATTGTTGTAGTTTATATTCCCATAAGCAATGCATGTTCCAGCAAAAAGCTTCAGTTGTTGTACATCTTCACCAACATTTGGTGTTGTCAATCCTTTGAACTCTAGCTATGGATTTGACATGGTATTTATTTTTGATGTTTAGTTTGCATTTTTCTGACAACTAATGATGTTGAGTAATTTTCAATGTGCTTATTGGCCATTTGTGTATTTTCCCTTGTAAAATAATTGTTCAAGCCTTTTGTCCACTTAAAAAAATGGTTCACCTTTTCATTATGGAGCTACTGGAATTTCTTATATATTCTGGGTTTAATTCCTTGGTTAGGTATGTGCTGTGAATATTTTCTTCCAGTTTGTAGCTTGCCTATTTATTTTCTTAACAATAAAAGAAATAATAATAGAAATTTTTAGATGAATAGAGGTTTTAAAATTTGAATGTTTAGTGCTTGTGCTTTTTTTTCTAACACGTTGAAAGCTTGAATTAGCTTGCCAAGTTACACACAAAAAAAACACTTTTTGGTACTTTGATTGAAATTGCATCATATCTATAGATCTGTTTTGTGGGAATTGATTTCTGTAAGATATTTGTCTTTACCATCCATAGACGTACTGTAGGTCTTCATTTATTTATGACTTTTAAACTATCTTGATAAGAAACAACTTTTTTCTATAAATATATTGAATATATTTTGTTGAATTGTTGCCTGTCTACCTATTACAGTTATTATTTTTTATTGCTGGTATCTTTTTCATGTTTGGGATTTTAATAGGAATTCAGCTAATATTTTACCATTGAGTATAATTTTGTTCTTGGTTTTTGGTAAGATAGCCTCTCCTACTTCATAAAATTTTCTTCAATTCTTAGTTGGGGGAGGATTTTTTTATAAATCATTTACATATTTCATATTTATAAAAAAGTTTCTTATATCAATTGAAATTTTTATAGTTTTTAAATCCAGGACTGGGGTAAACAATATTAGTAGATTATTAATCTGTCCTCACATTACTGAGATAAACATGGCTTATTCATATGTATGATCTTTTTGAATATATTGATGAATTTGGTTTATTTGCTTATTGAATGATTTTTAATAATCTTTCTTCCCAGCTGATTTACCTGTAATTTTTCCTTCCTGTTCTCTCTTTCCCCAGATTTAGTATAGTAGTCTTCTTCTCATCTGTGATTTTGCTTTCCAAGATTTCAGTTACCCATGGTCAAGAATGGTCTGAAAATATTAAGTGAAAATTTCAGTAATAAACAAATTATAAGTTTTAAATGGCATGCTATTCTGAGAATTGTGATGAAAGTCTTCACTGTCTTACTTTCATTCTCTGTGAATGTATTCACACTCTGTTAGTAGCAATCCTAGTTATCAGATCGACAGATCACAAGAAAGGTGAATACAATACAATAAAATATTTTGAGAGAGAGAAAGATCACATTTATATTACTTTTATTACAGCATATTATTATGATCATTGTATTTTCTTTTTAGTTATTGTCGTTAATCTCTCATGCTACCTAATTTATAAACTAAACTTTATCATTGGGCATCTATATATGTATGCACAGGAAGAAACATAGTAATATATAGGGTTTGGTACTATCCATGGCATAGGACACCCTATTTATTACAGCAAAGGAATTCTGCCATTGAAAATGCTAACAGTGGCTGGGCACGGTAGCTCACACCTGTAATACCAGCACTTGGGAGGCCAAAGGTGGGCAGATCACTTGAGATCAGGATTCGAGACCAGCCTGGCCAACATGGTGAAACCCCAGCTCTACTAAAAATACAAAAAAATAGCTGGATGTGGTGGTGTGCATCTGTAGTTCCAGCTGATCGGGGGGCTAAGGGATGAGAATTGCTTAAACCCAGGAGACAGAAGCTGCATTGAGCTGAGATTATGCCACTGCATTCCAGCCTGGGCGACAAAGCAAGACTGTCTCAAAATAAAAATAAAAAAAATTTTTATAATTTGTTAAAAAGTGCCCTAGTGCCTTATTGAGAAACAGCAAGTGTAAACTATTTTTTTTCTAAAATATTGCAGAGCTGAAAATGCTAGTGGACTAAACAAAAGTCAACAGGGTTAAGTGAAAACTCAGAGAAATAAGCAAGTCAGTTATGTAAACTAATGTTAAACATGCTCTATCATGTGCAATAAAGGATTTAGTAGTTTATGAGCAATGAAAAGGCTACAGTGGTATCGACTCCTTTAGATAAATCTCTCAATCTGTCTCTTAAAAAAGTATCTTGAACGTCTATATCTTAAAGCCACAATTCAGTGATTTCCCCTTGAATTTAAGCCTGTAATGCTAATTTTAACCCCATAAAAACATTTTTAATGTGTAATTCATATATAATAAAATATACCCATTTTACATATACGATTTAGTGAATTTTGATGGAAGTGTATACTCTTAAAATCACCATCACATAAGATATGAATGAGATTTCTATCATTCACAGACATTTTCATTCTTTTTTTTAATTTCCAACTTTTATTTTAAGTTCAGGGGTACTTGTGCAGAATGTGCAGGTTTATTACATAGTTAAATGTGTGCCATGGTGATTAGATGCACAAATCATCTCATCACCTACGTAGTAAGCTGAGCATCCGTTAAATGTTCTTCCTGATGCTCTTTCTCCTCCCACCCTCTGCCCTCTAGGAGGCCCCAGTGTGAGCTGTTTCCCACCATGTGTCTGTGTGTTCTCATCATTCACCTGCCACTTATAAGTGAGAACATGCCATATTTGATTCTCTTTTCCTGTGTTAATTTCCTGAGGGTAATGGCTTCCAGCTCCATCTGTGTCCCTGCAAAGGACATAACCTTGTTCCTTTTTATGGCTGCATAGTATTCCACAGTGTATATCAACCACATTTTCTTTATCCTGTCTATCGTTGATGGGCTTTTAGTTTGATTTCATGTCTTTACTATTGTGAATAGTGCTGTAATGAATACACACGTGCATGTATTTTTATAATAAAATGATTTATATTCCTTTGGGTATATGCCTAATAATTTGATGGCTGGGTCAAATGGTATTTCCGGTTCTGGGTCTTCAAGGAATTGTCACGCTGTCTTCTACGATGGTTGTACTAATTTACATTCCCACTGACACTGTGAAAGTATTCTTTTTTATACACAACCCCACCAGCTTCTGGTGTTTTGTTTTTTTTTTTTTTGTTTTTTTTTTTTACCTTTTAGTAAGCCATTTTGATTGGTGTGAGATGGTATCTCTATGTGGCTTTGATATGCATTTCTCTATTGATCTGTGATGTTGAGGTTTATTTCATGTTTGTTGATCATATACATGTCTTCTTTTGAGAGGTGTCTGTTCATGTTCTTTGCCCACTTTTTAATGGGGTCATTTGTTTTTGTCTTAAATTTGTTTAAGGTCCTTGTAGATGCTGGATGTTAGACCCTTGTCAGATGGGTAGATGGCAAAAATTTTCTCCCATTCTGTAGGTTGTCCATTTACTCTGATGATAGTTTCTATTGCTGTAGAGAAGCTGTTTAGTTTTATCCGATCCTATATATCAATTTTAGCTTTTGTTGCAGTTGCTTTTGGTGTCTTTGTCATGGAATCTTTGCCCATGCCTGTGTCCTGAATGGTATTACCTAGGTTTTCTTCTACAGTTTTTATAGTTTGGGGTTTTACATTTAAGTCATTAATCCACCTTGGGATGACTTTTGTATATAGTGTAAGAAAGGGGTCCCATTTCATTTTTCTACATATTGCTAGCCAGTTCTCCCAGCACCATTTATTAAATAGGGAAGCCTTTCCCCATTGCTTGTTTTTGTCAGGTTTGTCAAAGATCAGATGGTGGTAGGTGTGTGGTCTTGTTCCTGGGTTCTCTATTATCTTCCATTGGTCTATGTGTCTGTTTTTGTACCAGTACCATGCTGTTTTTGTTACTTTAGCCTTGTAGTATAGTTTGAAGTCAGATAGCATGATGCCTTCAGTTTTGTTCTTTTTGCTTAGGATTACCTTGGCTATTCCAGCTTTTTTTTTTTTTTTCCTTCCATATGAATTAGTTTTTTCTAATTCTGTGACGAATGTCAATGGTAGTTTGATGACAATAGTATGGAATCTATAAATTGCTTTGGGTAGTATGGTCATTTTAACAATATTGATTTTATCCATGAGCATCAAATATTTTTCCATTTGTTTGTGTCATGTCTGATTTCTTCGAGCAGTGGTTTTTAGTTCTCCTTGAAGAGGTCCTTCACTTCCCTTGTTAGCTGTATTCCTAGGTCTTTTATTCTTTTTGTGACATTTGTGAATGGGAGTTCATTCATAATTTGGCTCTTGGCTTGCCTGTTATTGGTGTATAGGAATGCTAGTGATTTTTGCACATTGATTTTATATTCTGAGACTTTACTGAAGTTGCTTATCAGCTTAAGAAGCTTTTGGGCTGAGACTATGGGGTTTTCTAGATACAGGATTATGTAATCTGCAAGCAAAGATAGTTTGAGTTCCTCTCTATATATTTGAATGTCCTTTATTTCTTTCTCTTGTCAGATTGTCCTGGCCAGAAGTTCCAATACTATGTTGAATAGGAGTGGTGAGAGAGGGCTTCATTGCCTTGTGCCAGTTTTCAAAGGAAGTGCTTCCAGCTTTTGCCCATTCAGTATGATATTGGGAATGGGTTTGTCATATATGGCTTTTATTATTTTGAAGTATGTTCCTTCAATACTTAGTTTACTGAGACTTTTCAACATGAAGCGATGTTGAATTTTATTAAAGGCCTTCTCTGCCTCTACTGAGATAATCATGTGACTTTTGTCTTTAGTTTTGTGTATGTGATGAATCTCATTTACTGATTTGCATATGTTGAACCAGCCATGCATTCCTGGGATGAAGCCTACTAGATCATGGTGGATAAGCTTTTTGATGTGCTGCTGGATTCGGTTTGCCAGCATGTTGTTGAACATTTTTGCCTCAGTGTTCATCAAGGATATTGGCTTGAAGTTTTCTTCTTTTGGTTGTATCTCTGCCAGGTTTCAGTAACAGGATTATGCTGGCCTCATAGAATGAGTTAGGGAGGAGTTCCTTCTTTTCAATATTTTAGAATAGTTTCAGTAGGAATTATACTAGCTGTTCTTTCTATCTGTGGTAGAATTCAGCAGTGTATCCATCTGATCCTGGGCTTTTTTGGGGTGGTAGGCTTTTTATTAATGCCACAGTTTTAGAACTCATTACTGGTCTATTCAGAGATGCAAACTCTTACTGGTTCCATCTTAGGATGGTACATGTGTTCAGGCATTTATCCATTTCTTCCAGATTTTCTCATTTGTGTGCATAAAGGTGTTTATAGTATTTTCTGATGGTTGTTTGTACTTCTGTGGGATCATTGGTGATATCCAGCTTATCATTTCTGTTTGTGTTTTTTGAATCTTCTCCCTTTTCTTCTTTTTTAGTCTAGCTAGAAGTTTATCTATTTTATTAATTTTTTCAAAAAACCAGCTCCTGGTATTTTTAAATTTTTTTGAAGGGCTTTTTTTATGTCTTTATCTCCTTCAGGTCCATTCTGATCTTGGTTATATCTTGTGTTCTGCTGGCTTTGGAGTTTGTTTTCTCTCTGTCCTCTGGTTCTTTTAGCTATTAATTTGAGATGTTTCTGGCTTTTTGATGTGGGCATTTAGTGCTATAAATTTCTCTCTTAACACTGCTTTAGTTGTGACCCAGAGATTCTGGTATATTGCATCTTTGGTGTCATTAGTTTCAAAGACCTTCTAGATTTCTGCCTTAATTTTATTATGTACTCAAGAGTACATTTCATTATATACTCAAGAGTACTTCATTTAGAAGCAGGTGGTTTAATTTCCATTTAGTTGTGTGGTTTTTAGTGAATTTCTTAATCTTAAATTTTAATTTGATTGTGCTGTGGTCTGAGAAACTATTATGATTTCAGTTCTTTTGCATTTGCTGAGGAATGTTTTACTTCTGAATATGGGATTAATTTTAGAGTAAATGCTGTGTGGTGATGAGAAGAATGTATATTCTGTTGTTTTGGGGTGGAGAGTTCTATGGATACCTTAGAACTTGTTCCACTTGTTCCAGAGCTAAGTTAATGTCCTGAATATCTTAGTTAATTTTCTATCTCAGTGATCTGTCTGATATTGTCAGTGGGTTGTTAAAGTCTCCCATTACTATTATTTGGAGTCTAAATCTCTTTGAAGCTCTTTGACAACTTGCTTTTATGGATCTGGGTGCTCCTGCATTGGGTGCATATTTATGTAGGATATTAGGTCTTCTTGTTGAATTGAACCCTTTACCGTTATGTAATCTAGAATGTCTTTGAAATGTAAGAGTATTGTGTGTTCTCTTCTTTGTCTTTTATGATCTTTGTTGGTTTAAAGTCTGTTTGGTTGGATACTAGGATTGCGACTCCTACTTTTTGCTGGTTTTCATTTGCTTGGTAAATTTTCCTCCATCTTTTTATTTTGAGCCTATGTGTGTCTTTGCACATGAAATTGGTCTCTTAAAGACAGCAAACCAATGGGTCTTGATTCTTTATCCAGCTTGCCATTGTGTGTCTTTTTTCGGGCGTTTACACCATTTACAATAAAGGATAGCATTGTTATGTGTAGATTTGATCCTGTTATCATTATGCTAGGTGGTTATTTTGCAGACTTGCTTGTATGGTTACTTCAGTATGTTTTGTTGTTGCTGGTAATAGTTTTTCCTTTCCATATTTAGTGCTTTCTTCATGAGCCCTTATAAGGCAGGTCTGGAGGTAATGAGTTCTTTCAGGAATTGCTTGTCTGAAGGAGATTTTGTATCTTCTTCACTTACGAAGTTTAGTTTGGTCGGATATGAAATTCTGGGTTGGCAATTCTTTTCTTTAAGAATGTTGAACATTGTCCCCCCAATCTTTTCTGGCTTGTAGGTTTTCCACTGAGAGATCTGCTGATAGTCTCATGGTCTTCCCTTTGTAGGTGACCTGGCCTTTCTCTCTGGCTACCCTTAACATTTTTAAATTCATTTTGACCTTGGATAATCTGAAACTTATATGTCTTGGGGATGATCTTCTCATGGAGAAGTTCGATGGGGTTCTCTGCAATTCCTGAAGTTGAATGTTGGCCTGTCTTGCTAGATTGGGGAATGTCTCCTGGATAATATCCTGAAGTATGTTTTCCAGCTTGTTCCATTCTTTCCCTCACTTTCGAGTACCCCAGTCATTAATAGATTCTACGTAATCCCGTATATCTGAGAGGATTGTTCATTCCTTTTCATTCTTTTTTCTCTGTTCTTGTATGCCTGTCTTAATTCAGAAAGCCAGTCTTCCAGCTCTGAGATTTGCTCCTAGGTTCTTTCCGCTACTTGGTCCATTCTGCTGTTAATACTGTGATTGCATTGTGAGGTTATACTATGTTTTCCAGTTCTAACAGGTCAGTTATTTTCCTCTCTAACTGGCTGTCAGCTCCTGTATTGTTTTATACTGATTCTTAACTTCTTTGCATTCGTTACAGCATGCTCCTTTAGCTCAGCAAAGTTTGCTATTATCCACATTTTGAAGCCTACTTCTATTATGTCAGCCATCTTAACCTCAGCTCAGTTCTGAGTCTTGCTGGAGAAGTGTTGTGGACATTTGGAGAAAAGGGGCAATCTGGCTTTTTGAGTTTTCAGTGTTTTGCATTGATTCTTCCTTATCTTTGTGGGCTTATCTACCTTCGATTTTTGAGGTTGCTGACCTTTTGATGGAGTTTTGTGTTTTTTCTTTGTTGTTGTTTTCTGTTTGTTTTTCTTTTAACAGTCTTGCCACTCTTCTGTAGGGTTTCTGTGGTCTACAGGGGTTCTGTCTCAGACCCTAGTTGCCTCGGTTCTTCCTCTACCTGGAGATATCACCAGTGAAGGCTGTGAAGGCTGCCAACAACAAAGATAGCAGCCTGCCTCTTTCTCCGGACACTTTGTCCTAGGGCAGTACTGACCTATTGCCTGCCTGAATGCACCACTTCCCTTGGCTGTGGGTAGGTGTTCCCTTGGCTCTGTGTCACTCCCAGGTTGGCCATCACCCCTTCTGCTTTTTTTCATTTTTCATGGGTTGAGTTGTTTTTCTGATCAGTCCCAATGAGACTACCTGGATATTTCAGTTGAAGGTGCTATATCCACTAGTCCCTTTCATTCCTCTTTGAGAGTGCTAAGGAGCACAGCTGCTTCTAATCAGGCATTGCGGCCCCTTCCTTCACAAACTTTTTCTCTTGGTCCCTCTGTAAGTCCACCTTGCCCTAAACCCCAGCCTTAGGCAACCACTAATGTGCTTTCTGTCACTATAAATTAGCTTTGTGTGTTTTTTATTCATGTTTGGCTTTTTTCACTCAGCATTATGATTTTGTGATTCATTTATGACATTGCATATATCAGCAGTTCTTTTGAATGATGAGTAATATTCTATTCTATAAATGTATTACATTTATTTTTTCACTCACCTGCTAATGAACAGTTGAGTTGTTTCCTGGTTTTGACTATTATTGTTTCCTATTTTTGACTATTACTGGTAAAGCTGTTATGAGCATTCCTATGTGATTCTTCAAGTAGACATGTTTCTGTAATCTGGATGGCCGACTTGTTTTGTAGGTTTAGGTTAACTTTTGTTTTTCGAGATGGAGTCTCACTCTGTTTCCCAAGCTGGAGTGCAGTGGTGTGATCATGGCTCACTGCAACCCTGCCTCCTGGGTTCAAGTAGTTCTCCTGCCTCAGCCTCCTGAGTAACTGGGATTACAGGCATGTGCCACCACAGTTGGCTAATTTTTGTATTTTTAGTAGAGACGGGATTTCTCCATGTTGCCCATGCTGGTCTCAACCTCTTGGCTTCAAGTGATCTACCTGACCAATGTAGGTTAAATTTTTAAGAAACTGCAAAATAGTTTTCTAAAGGCCTAGTTAGTACCACTGTACATTGACAGGAATCAGGTTGTTCCATATACTTACCAGCAGTTAGTATTGTTCTTTTTAAGTTTAGTCGTTCTGATGAATTTGTAGATGTATCCTACTATAAGTTCCATGTTTCTGATGATTATAATAATATTGAGTATTGATTCTTTGCCTTTTGGCCACATGTATGTCTTCTTTTGTTAGTGCGTGTAGTCAATATTTATCCTATTTGAAAAATCATTTTATTGAGGTTTAATTAATATTCAATAAGCTGCACATGTTTAAAAACATGCAATTTTATATGTTTTGATTTACCTGTGAAACCATCACCACAGTTAAGATAGTGAACTTATCATCCATCACCAAAGATTTTCTCATGTTCCTTTGTGATCACCCCTACCTCAAATCAACTCTCCCTGCCTCAAGCACCCACTTATTGTCACTGCAGACTAGTTTGCATTCCTAGAGCTTTCTATAAAAGAAATCACTTATACGATATGTACTTTCTGTCTGGCTTCTTTCACTCTGCATAAGTGTTCTGACATTCATGTTACTGCAAGTATCACTTCTCTTTGTTGCTGAATAGTATTGTATTAAATACTATTAGTTTATATGAAACAATTTGACTTTTCATTCATCTACTGAGGGATATTTGGTTTGTTAGCAATTTTTGACTATTACAAAGTAAGCTTCTGTGAAAATTCATGTATTAGTCTTTGTGTGGACATATTCTTTCTTTTGACAGTAGAATGTGTAAAGCTATGGTACATTTATGCTTCACTTTTTAAAATTAAATATTTTTATTTTGGGGGCACATAGGTCTATATATTAATGGCGTACATGAGACATTTTGATATTGTATATAATGCATAATAATCACATGAGAGTGAGTGAGATATCCATCACCTCAGGTTTGAATTGTCACAAGCAATTTAATTATACTTTTTGTTATTTTTGAATATATAATAAATTATTTACTGTAGTGATCCTCTTGTGCTATCAAATACTACATCTTTTTCATTCCATCTATATTTTTATACCCACTAACCATCCTAAGTTCCCCCACCATACCCCACTACCATTCTCAGCCTCTAGGAAGCATCATTGTACTCTCTCCATGATTCCAATTGTTTTAATTTTTGGCTCCCACAAATAAGTAAGAACATGTGAAGTTTGTCTTTCTGTGCCTGGCTTATTTTACTTAATATAATGACCTCTAGTTTCAGCCCTGTTATTATAAATTACAGGGTCTCATTCTTTTGTTTGATTAAATAGTACTTTATTGTATATATGTAGCACATTTTCTTTATCCATTCCTGAGTTGATGGACACTTAGGTTGTTTTAAAATTTTGGCTATTGTGAGTAGTGCTGCAATAAACATGAGAGTGCAGATAATCTTGATATACTAATTTCCTTTCTTTTGGTTGTATACCTAGCAGTGGGATTACTGGATTATATGATAGCTGTATTTTTAGTTTTTTGAGGAACCTCCAAACCGTTCTCCATAGTGGTTATACTAATTTACACTTTCATAGGCAGTGTATGAGGCTTTCCTTTTCTTCGTATTCTTACCAGCATTTGTTATTGTCTGTCTTTTCGATGGAAGCCATTTTAACTGAGGCGAGATAATATTTCGTTGTAGTTTTGATTTATATCTCTCTGATGATCAGTGATATTGAACAACTTTTCAAATACCTGTTTGCCATTTGTATGTCTTCCTTTGAGAAATGTCTAAGTCTTCTGCCTGTTTTTTAAATCAGATTATTAAATTTTTTCATATTGAGATTTTTGAGTTCCTTATATATTCTGGTTATTAATCCCTTGTCACATGGATAGTTTGCAGATATTTTCTTTGGGATGCAGATATTTTCCCAATCTCTGGGATGTCTATTTACTTTGTAGATTGTTTCCTTTGCTGTGAAGGAGCTTTTTAACTTGATGTCATACCATTTGTCTATGTTTGCTTTGGCTGCCTGTGTTGCAGGGTATTACTCAAGAAATCTTTGCCCTGAACAATGTCCTGGAGAGTTTCTCCAAAGTTTTCTTGTAGTAGCTTCATAGTTTGAGGTCTTAGATTTAAGTCTTTCATCCATTTTGATTTGGTTTTTGTATATGGTGGGAGATAGGGGTTTAGTTTCATTCTTCTGCATATGGATATCCAGTTTTCCCAGGACTGACCTTTCTCCAGTACATGTTCATGATACCTCTGTAAAAATGAGTTCACTGTAGGTGTGTGAATTTGTTTTTGGGTTCT